CGCACAGGGTGGCTGTGGGTCAGGGCCAAGTCAGCCCCCCCCCCCCCCAGCAGGATTGGGCCCAGGAGGATAGGGAGGCTTTTTAACTTTGACCCCCGCTTTCTTGTTTGACTTTAACAATGGCATTCATGTTGCAGTAATTTCTAAAAGATGGTTCAACAAACCAGCCAAGCCCCTCCAGGGAAGCTGGGCTACCGAGTATTGAATGGCTGGGGAGCTGGCCTCAAAAAGAACATCAGCGTTGCTTATCTGTGGGCCGTTATCTCCTGTATGCCTTGCTTCCTCGCGTTCCCCCAAATTGCTAATGAACAAGACAAACAGTGTTGGGGACACTTGGGGACGAGGTGGGGAGAGGCCTGAGGATGGCGGGTTGGGGCTGGCCTGCCTCACTGCCAGCGCTTACCTCACGTTCCAGGCACACGACACACTCCGAGGTCTGAGCCTCCAGCTCTGCGGGAGGGGCCGATGGCCTGGCCGACTCAGGAGGCTCCGGGGGGGCGCTGGGGCACTCTGGGGCCTGGAGGACCTCGTCCTTGGGTGGTTTCAGCAGATCTGCAAGGACCAAACGGACAGGCTGACCAAGGGTATCCCCTAACTACCCCCACCTTTAAGGGCTCCTGTGGGCAGTAAGCTGGCAGGTGCCCTGGGCTGAGTGCCGAGTTGTGGACAGGGCTCTCCTTCCACACACCCTCTATCCAAGACTGTCCCGTCTGTAAAATGGGAGTATGGCCAGCTTTCCGATAACAGTTGAATGCAGACCACAGGGCTCCTATGAGTCGATTTGCCTGGAGGGAGGTGAGGTTTTGGTTGCAAACCAGTTGGCATCACCAGCACTTAGTACCTGGGGGGCTGTCCCCCTGCAAACCAGCCTCAGCATTTCTCTCACGGCCATCCAGTCCATGCAGACTCGGAGCGACCCTCTGGGAGAGGGTGGAGCTGCCCACGGGTTTCTGAGCCTTGTCTTTGCCCAACGGAGTGGCTGGGGTTTCAAACTGGTGCCCTTACAGGTACCAGCCCAACACATACACGCCAGGCCACCAGGGCTCCTCTCGCATCATGTAGATGCAGGGCAACTGCCCTGGAGGAGGAGCCTCTAATGATGCCCCGCCCCCTCAGAGCGTGCCCTGGGAGCATGCCGAGGGGCTCTTCACGAGATGGCAGGCCTGGGGCGGGTTTGGAGAGCTGCGCTGCACCCCCCACCCCCACCCCCACCCCAGGGGCTAACAGAAGGAGCAGGGAAAGGAAGTCCATGCCTATGTCTCCTGCAGGGACACCCCAGCCAGTCCTGAGCAGAATTGGCCCCAGCAAACTCTAGTCTCTCTATCTCAGGGAAGGGGTGTCACCCACATTCCTGCCCTGTTACCCCTAGCACGGTCTACTTTATTAACTTGTTCTACGATTTGAATGTTATGAAGCTTTATTTCTAATAAACAGTAAGAATAGAAAAGCCCTAAATGATTTTGAAAAGTTGTGACCACCGGTAGACACACTTCCACCCTGAAGCCCATCAGAGGGGCTGGCTCTCCTGTACTGAGTGGCCCCTCTGCCCAGCTCTGGGGTGACAGGACTTCCATGCCTCTGGATGGGCGAGAAGGGATGCTGTCCCAGCCCATCCCTGGGAGTCTGAGGGCCCTGGCTTGCCAGCCAGGAAGCTTCTCACCACAGGACGCTCTGCTGTGGAGTGGCCGGACCGGCCTTTTCCACTTCACAACATATAGCAACGAACATGTTCTTGGACAGACCACAGACCTGGCCCAAGTGTCAGGCACAGGGTGGGCACTGGAGACAGGTAAGTTCTCCCTCTGTCCCAAGATCCCTGGCTAGGGGCTTCTGAGGGTCCTCCACTGCTGCCTGAAGTCTGTTCCGTCCCCGTTTTGTGGCCCGTTTTTCCCATTTGTAAAAGAACTCACTAATCCCTCCTCTGCTCCTTCAGGACTGGCAGGGGCCAGAAGGGGCCTTCAGGTCTGGTCCTGAAACGTAAGCAGATGCGGGCACAGCAGCCTGCCCGCCTCCCTGCAAGGCTGAGCTCCATGTAAGGAGTTCTGGTGTGGGTACCTGGCTGGATCCTGGCCGCGTCCAGCAGCTCCTGGACTCTCCGTAGGATCTCGTGTTGCAGGCCAACTTCTGAGATGCCCACCTGTGGTTGCCCCAAAAGAACAGGTCAAGACCTTGCCCAAGTGCAACTCAGGCCACCGGACATGAGCCCGGGCTCCTGGCTTCTTGGCTCTGGGACATTTGGCTGGAAGCCTAGAGGCTGGCCTTCTGGAGGTCAGCAGGGTCAGCCCGAGGCAATGCCCGGGGAGGACAGAGGCCCACAAGGAAAGGGGCAGGAATAGCAGCTACAGTTTGTGAGTGGCCCTGAGCAATTCCTCAATGTCAGGACACCATCACCATTCACACTGTCCCTAGAGAAAGAGCCACCATCCAAAACCTTGCCACCAAGGTGCAGCTAATTACCTGCACTGCACAGGCTCCTCCTCCAGAGCCCAGGCTTTAATCTCACACCAAACGCTTGGACGTAGCCCTACTGCACGTGGAGTGGCCCGAGGGCTGGGCCCAACCATCTCCAAGCGCTATAATTTGAAGCTCTGGATGACGTGGGGGTCAACAGGCCCACACCCTGGTTTTCTCAGCCAGCGGTGCATAGGGCAGACCCACGTGGTTGGGGGTAGACGGGGTAGCTGCTCTGGTCATTGGGAATTAGGGTAGCCAGGAACCACCACAAGAGCTGTGGGAGGAGCCAGGTGAGCTGGGGGCCTTACTTGCCTCCCCCAACCTCCCCCCGAGGGGCTGCTGCGTCTTGCCTTGGCCAGGTCTCGGGGGCTCATCCGGCTCAGCATGTGCAGGGAGATGCGATGGTGTGCAAACAGGGGGAGGTAGTGCTCGGCGGACAGCTCCACCAGGAGGGCCACCAGCTGGCGCTCCATGCCTTCTTCCTGCCAGCGAGAGAGGCCAGTGAGCAGAAGGACAGAAACCCATTGGGGCACAAAGGGCTGGAAAGTGTGTGGCCCGGTTATCAAACGTATTCCATTTCTGGACGAGCTGAATGTGCATCGAGAGAGAGCTGCTTAAATCACGGTAGTCCTGTGTGGCTGCCTGGAAACTCCGCGGCAGGTGCACACATGGACCTGGAGGGCTGCCTGTCTGGGGAGAACCGAGGAGAGCCAGCTGCCAGCATTGTACAGAGTGACTCCGTTTCAGTGATGATACGCAAAGGGGCGCATGTGAGACAGAGAGGAGGGGTCGGAATCACCTCTGCTGCCCTCTGCTCTTGCCCACCCTGCCTGCATCCATCCGACGGAGGCTCACCGTCTGCACAGCGGTGCCTGGAGGCCTGTCTGCCCTCCCCACAGGGGACAGGCTTTCTCGGCTCCCACCAGAGCCCCAGGGACAGGAGTCCAAGCAAAGAGCACTGGAAAGATGAGCAGGCAGCCTCGGCTGGTGGCACGGGACCTTTGAAGAAGGGGCCTTACTGAGTAGCAGTCGGGGCCCACACCCCTTTGAGAATATATCCCACCAGGAGCCTCTGCTCAGAGCAGACACCACCATCCTTACTTGCAGCTTCAAGGACAAGGGTTTCTGGTTCAAGAGCCGTTGATACTGAATCAGCCAGTAATTTTCCTGCTTGGTTTCGCTTCTGGCTTCCAACTCCGTCTGTAAGAGAGGCACAGGGTGCAACTCGGGTGGTGCCCTGGGATTGATG